TCAAATCCATATAACAAATTTTTTTTTTTAAAAAAAAATTACATCTTTTTAGTAAATACTAAGTCATTAAAATAAATTTGAATTCAAATAAATGACATGTAATTCGTTAAACCTATTAGAAATGTGCTATAGTATAAAATCTTAAGATAAAATTTCTAAAACTGATATCTCTTTAAAAAGGTTTAAATTTTGGTTATAATTAAGTCTATTAAAAATTGAAATAAGTGAATTGCAATGGAAAAACCTGCATAAACAAATAAATTCTAGTAAAACAAATAAATTCGTGATATAAATCAAAAATCGTCAAATAAATTGGTAACATATAAATTCGTGAAAAAAAGCGCTTTCGACAAAATACTAAAATAGAGATCTATTTACAAAGACTACTCACTTCTGCCTAGCTTATGCTCTCTCTGGTTATTTCAGTTTCCGTTTTTAAAAGCGCTATATGTTGAGCCATCTCAGATAGATTTGGCATGTGACGTTTTTAGCGGCAATCATGGGTCGATTTTCTAGCGTTGCCATTCGGGGAGTTGTAATGAGGCTCTTTTGTCGCCGTGTAAGAGAAATATATATATAGATGTTCTTGGTTCCTCGAAAAAAATCGCAAAATAGAGAAATTCGTAAAATGGAAGTTCGTAAAATAGAAGTCCGACTGTATTTTTAGTTGAATAGTTTCAACTGTTTTACGCTAAGAAACAGCAATTATTGCGAAGAAATTATCGGGGTTGATGAGCGTCAGCGAACAGGTGGCTTAACCCCCGAATATTTTATAAAAAATCTATAATTGAAATTTTACCTTTCTAACTTAATGGTCAGTGGAAGAATTCGTGATGAGTGAGTGTATTTCACTCAAAGCCACTTATCATTCTCAGGCAAATAAAATGCAAGCCCTTAAAAATTGTGCTATTTTCAGGCATTATTTTTCCCGTGACTTTTAAAATTCCAAATACCCTATCAAAGATTGAAAGTTTTCCTTTTAAATCTAGCCATTGTGTTTCATTTCTATTCTTTTTGAACTACGACTTATTTATCAGTTGATAGATTTAAAATCACGACTGTAATTCCCATGAAGCATATAAAAGAAGAAGAAAAAACTTTTGTCTGAAAACAACTGAAATATTTTCACCCCTTTACCCCTTCCTGAAATCCCGAGTGCTGGATAGAAAAATATTTCCACAGAGGGACTTTAAGAATGGGAGAAAACTGGATTCGTTTTACGAGCGTTTGCCAGGAAAACTGAAGTTGTGGAATTTTTTTTTTAGAAATCCGGAAGGTTTTATCATAAACAAATGCTTATTTTTATTTTTCTTCTGCTTCATGAAAAGAAAACTACTACTTTTACTATGCCCAAACTTTAAAAAAAATCTTTACGGTTATTCTCTCTTGAAATCCTTTCAATATGAAGTGCCTTAGAAAAAAGTTTTTTGTTATTGTTCCCCTTCCTTATTGTATAAAGCGTGATTTGAAGACAGTAGGCTTAGGTTTTCTTCTGACTGTTTTAAGTTTTCTTTTTGTTCGCAGTTGACCCTAAAAATATCGCTTAGAAAAAAGTGNCTTCCTTATTGTATAAAGCGTGATTTGAAGACAGTAGGCTTAGGTTTTCTTCTGACTGTTTTAAGTTTTCCTTTTGTTCGCAGTTAACCCTAAAAATATCGCTTAGATAAAAAAAAAGTGCCAGAAAACTTTTCTTGATATACATATATATAAATAGTCAAACCCCTTTATAGTGAACTCCCGGATATAGTGAACGAAATTTTGGATCCCGTGCCTTACTATACACATATAATATTATTTTTTGTGGATATCATGAACCAAAAGAAGAAAGGAAATTGGATATTATGCACTTTTTTTTGTCTTCGAATGATTTTTTTATCTTTATTATCGGTAATTTTTTTAAATGTCTGCATAAAATACATATACCGATTTTTAAAACCATCTATTGGGTGGAATGTAGCCATAAGCATTTTCTCTCGTTTGCTTCTATTATCTCAGTAAATAAAGGGCACACCCCTAAATTTTTTGCACGCAAGACAAAGAGTAATAAGAAATAAAATTTAACACATTTTTTGTTACTACATATTGTTTTTTTTAACAATTTTTGCCTTTCTTTTTATGGGTCATTTATTTAAATAATGTGTAATAAAAGGGATCAGTGCGGAAAAATTAGTTAAAATTGTTTGCAATATGGATATAGTGAACTCCCGGTTAAAGTGAACAGAAATTTCGGTCCCTTGAAGGTTCACTATAGCGGGGTTTGACTGTATATTGTAACTTCTCATTATGGTGGAAGATGAACGAAAGCTCTTCCTATCGGCTTTTAATAACTGCCAAAAGCTGATCTTGGTGATAGTTAATTTGCAAAAGTTTTATTTTATAATTTTCGATTATTTTATTTAATAACCGCCAATGAACAGCCGACCCCATTTATTTGGGTTTAAGACTACTAATAATCAACTCCGTAGCCTTGTAAATTCAAACCCAATCCAGAAGATAAGGAATGGGATCTCCTGGATCAAGTATTAGGAGAAATTTGCCTTCGTGGAGGACTTTTTGAAGGAGCTAACCCAAATTTGCGTTACATGAAGAGGGAAACCACGAAAATCTCCCACTGGCAGCCTGACCACAAGGGGGCTCTAACCCATGATCCGTCAATCACTGAGGATATTTTATGTCAGAACTGTGGTCTGTGAAAGCTGTGTGCAGAATTCGAATCGACCAGGGATTCTAAACTGGATCACTTCATTGGGAAGCGAGTGCTCTATACCCTGAGCCATCACGGCTCCAATTTGCAAATTTGACAAACATTGATTTATATCTCCAGATGTTGCTGCCTTCGCTAAGTTCAGTACTTATCGGTTTTAAAGGAATAATGAAGCCAAGTTCACCAACACTTAGGAACGACGCCAGTTTCTGGTTTGCAGAATCTGGCTAGATACCGGCTACCAATGTAACACATGGATCTATATATACGGCAGTATCGCGATCATTTATGATAATACAAATGGAACACAAAAACATCACGATCACTACTGAAAACAATGTTTATCGAATACGATACAATCATGAACCTCCACGATAACATATATCAAAACGATAATATCGTGAATATTATGCACGAGGATAATTGTCGTGTCCAATACTATTGTGTATGTTGATATTTTTCATTTAGATAACGGAAATATTGAACTATGTGAAAATATTTTGCTTTAATTAAATTTGAAAAATATAGCGATAGGGAACAATGTTCGTGTTGGCGGCAATAACTCGGATAAACAGTCGCCAACACAGTCCCTACAACCGATAAATACATTTTTTTTTCTACTAAAATTATGTTTACAATTTTTGTGACCTTAAATTTGCTTATTAGAGACATTCTTAGAATTAGAGACAGATATTACTAATGTATTAAATAACGTTCAAAAAAAATATTGCATGATATACGTTTTGATCATCATGAAATACAAGTAGTACAATAACTGAAATATTGAAAATAATTCTTCACATAGGTGTTTTGACTAAATTAATTCAAATTCATTTATTACTTTAAAAACTTAACAAATTTAGCACTTTTTTCTGGGTGATGTGAAAAACTTCTTCAGAGTCAAACTTGAAAATAAAATAAAAAATATTATCAACTGAATACTTGATACATTTGTTGATACTTGATTGGATAAAAAGCAAAAGAAATTTCCAATAAATAAATGATTAAAGTCTTATTACTTTTTTAATTCTAATTATTTTACTATTATTTTTTTGTTTTTTATTATTACTTAATTTTTTATTTACTTTAATATTACCTTTCAATTCATGATGTATTTATAAATGCAATGCTCATTGCATTGTCTATTATTGTATATATTGTTTATTATTATTATTATTTTGAGTACGTAGCGTGTTACTTGTCAAAACTTGTTATTAGAAAATATGGATGTTATTAGAATACCACAAAATATGGAGTCGGAAAGCTAAGGGCAATCCGCCATAAGCCTACATTTAATTTTTATTTTATAACTTAAACTAATTCCTGTACATAAAAATGGTATAACTCCAAAACCAATGTAAAAATAATCTATTAAAAATGACATTCAATAAAGGCATTTTGACGATATTTAATATTTCCGTTGGGGGCATACAGTTTCAGAAAGATTTTTTTTATAAAATATTCTGCGTTATTTGTGAGTGCAGCATTCTTGATATTTGCGAATATATCACGTAATAATAAAAAGAATGCATAGTCGTCACTACATGATCTATTGTTTACCAATTATAGTTAAATGTTAGAGTGTATAGTTTTTTTTATTAGTTTATTATATTAATAACTTGAGGCTTGCAATTAAAAAATAATAAATGATTTATGACGAAAATAAAATATACAAAAAAAGAGAACTTTCACGAGAGCTCTTTCTCACAGAAGGTCTGAATATGTCTGCTGTGGAAACCAGAGTAAAACTATTTTGAATGGGTGTGAATTGCGAACGCTTCAACTTAAACCAATGCGCAAATGGGGAAATTCTCGTACAAAAACTTACTGTTAAGTATGTATGANTGAAAAGGACGGTCACACTGACTGACAATTCTTCTTCAATTTGAAAAGATGTTGCTTCACCTGTTAATATCCTAGAAATTTTCTTCATTGTTTGAAAGCCAGTGTAATAATAAAAAATTATAAAAAATAATAAAAATTAGAAAAATTTAACAAAAAATTTAAAAAATGCATTTTAATGCAAAATACGCCCCAAAATTTTAAAGAAAATGCCCTATAAATCTCAAATGCTCTAAAGGACAAAAAATGTCCAAAAATGCAAAAAATGCAAAAAAATGCCAATGTCATCAAAATCCGGGCCTTAGTCATCACCTTGTATAGTCATTCGCATTTCGTCTCGATAAAGAGACACCATTGACTTCATATACTTCATACAACTTCATATATATTTTTTGAAATAATTTTCTTAAAATCAAGTGATAACTTTCATAATAAATGGAATTAATTATTGCAGATTTGTAAATGTTGGCCGAGGGATACCACCCCTAAAAAGAGCTAGGACGGAGTTGATGGGACAGCGACCATCTTTACCAAGATTCTCGGAAAGAGAACAAGCATCACTGGACGCTCTATATAACAATGGTAAGAAATAATTGAAGTGTTAATAAAGCGACTCAGTTTCGAGTTCAAATAGATCAGCAAATCAATACAGCCCCATAGATGGACGCGGATTCATATCTAGTGAATAATGCAATGCTCCAGGATAAAATTTTGGGTATAGGCAACTCGGGTTCTAAACACATTGCTTATGCTATGCTGAGAAATACTATCTTGTATTTACCAATATATTCCCCCTTTTTCAGTCCCAGGTTAAGACTCTTTGGTTGTATAAGACACTTTGAGAGAGATTTCCAAACTGGTACTTTTACGGAAAGATTCCTTTCATACCTTTTCCACTGCATGCATCCCTAAAACCATCAAGTGAGACTCTGAAAATTTATTTCAAGAAGCTGATGGTTAGTTAAATATGAACCTGCACTAGCTCCTTTACTTCGCGTGTCTCTCATTTGCTTCGTGATATCTTGGGTTTATTTATATTCAGGGCAATCACTTCAACCCCATATTTTTCAAACTTTAAATGTTATTTTCAGTGTCTCATCTTAGCTCTATTTACCAGTGCCTCATATTAGTTTCATTATTTTCAGTGTATTATATTAGATCCATTATTTTCAGTATCTCTTAATAAATTCAGAGTCTCATATTAGCTGCATTATTTCTAGTGTCACAAATGTGTTACATCATTTTCCGTCTCTCATAATGAACTCCATTATTTTCAGTGTGTTATGCAAGCTCCGATAAGCTCCGTTAAAATTTAAGGCTATTTCGGGCATTCATTGTATCGTTCAAAACATTATTCAATGTTCTTTCCATAGTATAGTAAAAAAAAATTCCTTCCTCTCTTTAAAAAAATCATTTTACTTTATGAACAACGTTTCATGCAGAGTTACAAAATAAGATTTGCTCACATGTGTTACGTTTTAAACATAAAAACAAATCAGAAAAAAGTTGTTCTTTTTTTTCTTTATAAGAGAAAAAGTAACTTTGTCTTGAATGGCGCACGCTTTATGTTTTGAACATCTTTTATGCCCATCACGTCCAGTAAAAAAAAGAATATAACATTCTTTGAATCATTCAGAGGTCACGTACAGTATTCGAACAAGTACTTGAAGATCTGGGAGAATGGTTAACTGTAAATAACCGTACTGTATAGCCCTTCTCTTTACGATCGTTTATTTTGCGAAATTCGAAACGCAGAGCAGTTGCTGTATTAAAATTTCTTTTTGAGGACTAGAATGTAGAGTGCTATGCCCAAGACATGGATAGTTAAGAACCACAGCTAACTTTTTATATTTCAAATTCTAGAGAATTATTTTAAATAAATGTGTAATAGCATAGAAATGTCTCAAATATTTTTATCACATTATGATAACAATTTTGCAACGTCTTGTTACTTAACCCAAATTAACAGCTTTCGAGATTCAATCTTCGCGATATTGTCCAAGTTCTTTATGTATTAAAATTTAATAATAATTTAAAATCGGTCATTAATTCACTAAATCAGTATGAGTCAAATCCGGATATTTTAGCATAGTAGACAACTATTTTTATCTTAATAAGAATCATCAATTTTCATCCTTCAATTCAACAATCAACAATCACATCACCAATCAATTTTCATCTTCATAAGATAGAAAACTCATCCCAATTCTCCATTGTGGGCTGTACTACTTCCTCTAGCATCTCTAGAACCATGGCCTTGAGTATCGTATTATATACTATATATA